TTATTTCCCAGGGCTTTGCTGGTGCAAATAACAATGAAAAACAAGATTTAAACAGGAGCATAGGAATCCAATTTAGCGTTCACCACGCCCCTCCCCCCGACATCCAGCTAAGCTGCAGAAGCTCCCGCAGTCTGCTCTGTGAACCTTTTTCTCCAGGGCAAATCACTCAGATGTGCAGCCCTGGCTTCACATTTTTCCCTCTGTGGGCAGGAACTGATATGCAAAAGGAGAAGGGTCAAAGGAAAATGAGGAAGTGGGTCATGAATACAGCAAGGGGCCAAGGGGATGCCTCAGTCAGGACCTGAGTTTAATCCCAAAAACCCAGGGAGAAAGCCTTGCCTGGCAACTGTAATTCCAGTGCTGGGAGGTGGGGACAAAGGGTCTGTGAGTCTAGACAGCCAACCAATGGTGCCAGTCAGGGACAGACTCTGGCCTGGAACTATGGGGGAGAGATTGAGGGAGAGTCTCCATTTTGACTTCCGACCTTCACACACATGTGCGTAGACACACGCAAACACACACACACACACACACACCTGAGAGAGAGAGGAGATGAAATAAAGAATGCTTCCTAGTAAAAAGCTGTAATTGAGCACCTGCTCCGTGATGTGAAATAGAAAATGGTGGACCCAGGCATGGAGGCTAACACTTGTAATCGCAAGACTTTCAAAGGGACACATGAGTTTGAAAGCAGCCCAGGCAACTTATGAGTTTATGAGTTTCAGGCTAGCCTGGGCAATGGGGTGAGTCCTCCCCCCAGGCCAGAGGAAGAAAGAGAAGAGATGGTAGATCGTACACAAGAAAGACGATTTTAAAAATGCAGACACTGGAATTGGAGACAAGGGGCCCCTAAGTGTCCTGGCATGGCCGTCATTCTTCCCTTTGCTCTCTCCGCCATCAGGGAAGCCATGCTCACACAGCAAAGCTGGGCTTCCTGTCTACCCTGCACATGGGCCACCTACTCACAGCCACTGAGGAGATACATCCAGAGACCATTAACGTGCCTTCTGATTTGGACAACCAATACTGACCACTTCTTAAGCAGCTTCCTCATACAAATACAAATGGCTTTTCACACTTCATCACTTAAGGGAAAGGAGAATGAGTTTAGAAACATTGTCTTCTGCTCTCTCAGTGTGGAAGACAATTATGCACGGCCAGGAGAAGAGTGAGAGAAGGGAGATGCAGCACAATGAGATTTCTATCTTTAAAACACAGCAACGGCTTCCCGAGACTGATTCACAGAGATAATTCCCAAAGCGCTGATACTTTGTAATTGTTCTGAAGCACAGCAGGGCCCTGTTCTCCCGAGTTCCTATTTGTTTATTTTAATAGAGGTAAGTACAAGCTTAGGCATTATTATTTTCTTATGTGGTAAGGGGATGTGGTGTCACAACAAATACAGTATCTCTCACCGTGACTATAGTATAAGCAAATCTTCTCAAGTGGACACTTGAATATCCAACCTTAAACTGTATCTGCTGGAGAAAAAAAATGCTTACATATCCATAGCATTAAGAAAGGCACACCTCTGATGGTGGTTGCCTACAGTGCTTGGCCAGTTTATTTGGCTTCATTTTATTTAGGTCTAAAAAGGTTAAACCCTGCAGATCTTCGTAGGAGCATCCCATTGCTCGGGAATACTTCCACATAGACTTAACAAACGTAGCCAAGCAAGCACTCAGACTTGATTCGCTCACGGATGACATTGAAATGCACTTCCTAGATACCAGCACACACTGCTTTCCATTTTACTTTTCATTTCCACAAAATGGGACACTGTTCATGTGCCAGCTCAGGGCCAGCACTGAACTAACTCATCGTGGTCTCTTATTCTCTGAAACACAAAGAGCCATTTTGGCACACCCCAGACATAATAAGGAACATCTAGTCTTTGCTCCACAGAGGAGGACAAATATGGTTGTCCTGCTCGCTATCACCCAGTTCGGGTAGGCCACATGGACTCTGCGGCCATTTCCCCTAAAGTACTGGAACTGGTGTTTTATTGACAGAGACTTCAAAAATCATCAACTGTCATCACAAAGTGAAGGAAATTTTCATGAAAACTATTAAAATATTAATCTATAATATTTTCTCATTTCGAAGCTATGTTCACAATATTGTAACTTACATTCAAAAATTGAGTTCCCTAAATCACATTATGGTCTTTTAAGGGTTTAGTACTTTGGAAAGTTACTTTTCTCACTCAACTTCTGGTGGGGTAAGTAAGACACTTGTGTCAATAGAGAGAACACCAGTTATCTATTAATGACTACAGGCAATAAACCGAATGACAGAAAAAAAATAACACTTGACTATCTGCAATGGCTTTCGAGTGAGATCCTAAGGAATGTCTACATGTTTTATTTCATTCTGTGGGATGGCTAAGTAGCAGTGTCCCCTGGCCCAGACCAGGGAGCATCCTCAAGACATTTACATCAACATCACACATCATGAATAAGACTGAGATCCAAGGGTAACATGTGTTCACCCAACCCAGGTTATTTGGATGGATATTATAATCTTTCACCTTCGGCCTACAAGGTCCTCATGCAAACCCAGGAGGGTCATCAGCTGAATCTCATGGAACCTTACAGCTTCCTCATTTGTTCGGTTACAAAAATCGGCGAGTCTATTTATAATTGGGCAGGAAAAGCCCTTACCCTTTGAAAGCCAAACATAGGGAAGCTTGGTTTTGATGCCGGCTTGGACTGTTCTGCAGTCTTCCAAAAGATAGCATCAAGGAGTTTTCACCATTCTACATCTTTTTTTTTTCCTTTAAAGTTCATTATTTTGACAAAAATTCCATATGCTTTTAGTAAAAGTGAAAAGCAAAAATCCTTCAAATTCAGTCACACATATAGAACAACCTTGTGGTGGAAAAGAGCTAGAACTTTCCAAACCATGGTTTAAAAAGTAACAGACAACCTTTGCTTTAAGGACTGAAGATACAGAAACCCTGACTTGAAAAACCAATAAAAATAAAAATAAATAAATAAATAAATAAATGAAGGAAGGACCTGATACTTAGCAGCTGGTTTTCACTTGATGAAGTAGGATACACAATTTACCTGTTTTTACAACCGGTCTCTCTGAATATCACTTTAATTTTCTACTCTACACAAAACTCCTCACACACAAGGGAGAAAAGGTCACTTTTTTTTTTCCAGACTAAAAGTGGGGCTCACACTAGGGGGTCGATGGCTTCCTCTAGTTTCCATTAAAAGCAATGGGACACATTGCAGAGTGCCACAGGTAAGCTTATAAAAGGTCAGCTCCTCACTTTCATGTCTCTTAAAGTTGCTAAATTAAACACTTTTTTCCCATTAGGTTGAAGGAACTGTCTTATGGAATTCAACTTGCTCCAAATTTACCAGCGAAAAACGATCGACAGAAAATGATCAAAACTTGCGTAGTTGGTACTCGCAGAGTGCCTAGCTTTGGCAAAAGTTCATTCTAAACCACACAGTTCCTTTTCCAACAGTTTAAGCATCACAGAAAAATGTCACAAAGTGTAGAATCAGTGTAGAATCTAAAAAAACGCAACACACACACACACACAGACACACAAATCTACCTGATGCATAGAAAGACTTTGAAGAACACTCTTTGGTAATTGTTTCAATAGTTTAGTCAAAGTACCACATACTAGAGAAAAATAAAAGGAAACAATGAGAAGGGGAAGAGAGTGTGGGACAGAAAGGAAATCAGACTGGATTAGGACAGGGCCAGGCTTCTCTTCAGACTCGGGAGTCCTTTACCCCTAGCTCTTCAGCCATCCATCTGAAACTTTTATTTTGAAAATGGCGGCAAGTGTCAGATTTGCTGCAGCGGTGAGCTGCTTTCTGAAGAAAAACATCTCACTGCGACTCGGTTGAGAAAATACGGAGAAGCTCTTTTGCTCTAATTAGGGCCCACTTTAGGCAATTCGTTAAGCCGTGGCCCCATGCCACAAGCTGTCAGGAGGTGGAGCAAGGGGCGAACTTGAGAGCGAACACACAGATGGAGTCTAACGATGCTTTCCATCAGCCCAAGACAGGGAGCTGGGCAGGAATGCCAGGGAGGCTCCCGGTGAAGCCTGCTCACCAAAAATCCCAGCGGGAAATGGAAAGAGCACTGGCTAGGTCAAGCCAAGCAAGCACATCGAGACAACAAACCCATGTGACACTCACCAACAAGCTTGGGCCTCCCCAAGGCCAAATAAGAGTAGTCTCTCTCTCCCACACAAATCCAGACTTGGTCTGAGTACCCTCTGAAGAGCCACCCGGGAAGGATCCTGGTCCAGGGCTGGGCCTCAGATCCCTCTTCCTCCAAGGTCCCACTGCTGCCTCCACTCACCACTGGGGCTCAGAGAAAGGTGGAACCAGCAGCCAAGTATGCAAAGGAGGAGGGAAGCTGGTTTTCTCTCAGGGAAGCTCACACAGGAAGGGAGCCAATGCTTCCTGTCCTAACCAAAGTGAGTTCAGAAATCATTCGGATGTCTGATTTGTCAGACATAGGGTGGAAAGGGGGTGTTCTTTAGTCAACGGGAATTGTGACTTCCCCCCTAGCAAGACATGGCCATGGGAGAAAAGTAGCTGGGCCAGGCCTGTGAAGGAGAAGCTCAGTGGCCTACATGCTTGAGACTTGGGCTTTTTGATATTTTTTTTTTTTAAGCAGTTTATCACTGTGGGTTGAAGACACACTGGCATCCACTTATTTATCACAGTCAAACATGAAAATGGGGAAATGCCAAAGAAAATAATTTGCCAGTTGTCTTTAGATTATGCCCCAGGGCAGCTGTGTCCCTTTGGGACTTTCTCATGAAGAACCAGTGGGATACCCCAAACCAGGGCAGACATACATTTCTCCCCTTAGAAAGTTTTTGCAAATCATGTTTGGTTGGCTGGTATAGTTCACTTGTGACATGCAGTACAGTATGCAAAAATGCTTACCCATGTCTTAAAAGTAACTGTTCCATTATCACTTAGCAGCTAAAGGCTATCCCAAACAAACACGGTCCAAAAGGAGGCACTGGAATTCTAAGAGCAGGAGCACATATACTCCAGCAACGAGACAAAGAACCCTGAGGTAGGAAGGCATGTGCTACTGTTTGATTGAGAGGGATGTGAAGAAGCAGGGGTTTATACGAAGAACACGAGTGTGAGCATTGCATCAGCAGCACGGTGAAATAATTCTGCTACTGTTCATATGGATTTATTAGAGTGCTGACCCAAGACTCCAACAGACCCCTCTTCTCCATAGCGCATCATCTGTATTTGTGTGCGTGTGTGTGTTTAATGCTAATTCTCTGATACTCAACACCTAAGATTAAAAAACAATACGTGTGTCTTTTTGGAGCAGGAACCAAGATCTCTTTCAAGACGTGAAATGGATTTCTGTCTCTCCCCCTGTATCCTCAGGAGCCATCACTTGTTGCATTTGCTTTCCATGTGTTTTCCTGTGAAATGTAATGCTCAGACAGTGAACCTGTGGAACGAGGCAACGTGGGAGAGCTGCAAAGGAGAACAGTCCTGTTCTCAGGTTTCTAGTCAGAGTAGGAGCTTCAGCTAAAAGGAGGAACCTCAATGTCCCAAAAATATTTGTCAGTCTTAAAAACAGGCAATAACGGTTCCCAAGGAACTTGGAGGCTCCTGGTTTGCCTTCTGAGGCAAATTCGCTTCCGTTATTCTCCTCTGAACACAACAAGTGCCACTTATTTTACAGAGAGATTGTTTAGAAACGTCAAAGAGCAGAGAGGGCATACCGCTACTCACGCGCGCCTTGAGGAATCTTACTGACGGCAGTAGCAGTACTTGAATGTGCAAAATTTGACAAGCACTCAAAACGACCTAATATTATAAAACTAACATTATCTATGCCCAAATCTGCCATTATAAAGTAACCATTTTTATTTTATATTTTAAAAAAGTAAAAAAAAAATAATAAGAGGAAGGGAATTTATCTCTCATGTTAGGTGCTTTTATTTAAAATTAAAACCTTTTTCCTTGCCACCTTCAAGCCTCTGTCACTCCAGACGACGTGTGTGATGTGTGCTTGTGCAAGCAGGAGTATATACGAACACATGTAATTTATTTCCTGTGTATATTAGTATAAATAAACATGTGTGTTTAATCCCCTCGGATTTCAGAAGTTCTGATATTCCCATGAACAATGTGCTGTTATATTAACGAAAGACGAAACACACAAATTCAGATAAAGGAAAATGCTTCCTCAAACCAAAGAAACACCATCCTTACACTCAGTCTCAAGTGAAGTAGAAAATGCAAGGGGCCTACGGACCTGCTGGGCTTTGGATCTTTTGGCCAATAAATTCACTGTGATCTTAATTTTTCAACAATGGAAATGCGCAAGAACGACCACCGTTTGCTTTCTCTTTAGGGCCCAGTACACAAACTTCTCAAAACAGTCAGATATCCCTCTTCCACTCTTTATTAGCAACCAGTGTCTGCTTGTGAGGCCACCATGGTGGGATATTGTTGCTACGATGCTCCTAAATTTGGGGGGGGGGGGCTTTGGGGTTTGCCCTCTACTTAAAAAACACCAATGAATTATACAAACATGTACTTTGGATTTCTTAACTCTAGGTTTCAATTATCACCATGAACAAAAAAATCAAAACCATTAGACTTAAAACATTTTTGTCACCAGCTCTAGTGAATTTTAAGTCTGGGAAGCACAATTTTTTTTCTTCTACGAGAAAAGGAACAAGCATGTATGCTTGTAGGAAAATATAAAATTATACATGTTTTTATAAAAATATAAAATACTCCATTGTCGTTTACATGATGTACTCCATATTATGTCCTCAACATGTTCTGTGTATTACAGGGTGCTGATCCAATGTAAGGAGATGAATCTTTTGTCATGGATATTTGTCCCCGTTTAAATTTGGAGTCATATCAAATAATCTGATTTGTTACTGAAACCATTTGGACACATACTAACATAATAAGAATCATGCTTAAAATTTTACTTTAAAAATCTCATAGAAAAAAATTGAATGAATTCAATTAATCTCATAGAACAAATATCGCCAAACAAAGAAACTAACGCAGGCTCTGGGATTTTCTTACAGACTTCAACCCCCTCTCCATTCATAACCCAAAGGAACTAATCATTAAAAGCATTTCAGTGTCTATGAAAAATACTATACATTTTATGCATTTTTGACGCCTTAAATTTTCTTTTGCAGGTATGTTGGACCAGTGAAGCACTATTTCCCTAACACCACTTTGGTTCTGGAAGTTTAGGACAAGGCAGCTCAAAGGTAAAATACGTTATCTGTAGCAGGGGGAGAAATTACGCGTGGGTAACTTGGGCAAACGGCATGATAAAATTCACTCTGGATGGGCTCCAACCAGAGAGAAAATGGAAAACTGAAAGGGCTTCTGGCTCAGACCTTTTGAATTGGTACCTCTTTGGGTCACTAGATGTCATATCCTGAAGCCTACAAATTAGAAGGAAATCAAGGGCTTATAAGATTACTTGGGAATTACTAGTGATGCTGCGCAATTAAAAAAAAAACCCACACATTTCAAATAAATCGCAAGCCTATTTGATAACAGGGTCTCCCTGCCAAAGCTCCATGACCTGGGATCACACACTGCGATGAGCAAAGTACGGTTTCAATACCCGGATCATTTCCATTTTGCACACAGCAAACTAAGACTGGATTCTACCAGGAAAGCAAATAGCCCTCGCACCAAAAATAAGGAAAGTCTTTACCCACGACTTTGGAAATGTTTTTTTCTGTGATCTCACTAGATCTGTCCATATAAGCCTAAACATGAGTAGGGCATGCTCTTCGTGGGACTCCAGGCTACTCAGAAGTGGCTCAGGCTGGCCTGGTCGCGCACCTGCTTGTCCCAGCCTAGAGAGGAGGAGGGTCGCTTTGGTTAAAGCTCTCCGTCCTCAGAAAGGAAAAAACAGACGTGAGCACCACGGACACTATGGATTTCAACTGACTTTCCTTTCTTTCCTACTTCTAATTAAAAAAAGAAAGAAAAATACACCAGTTATCCCAAGTTTTCCTACTGAAATTAATTTGAAAACACTCACGTGGATTTGTATGCCGCGCTTTGGGGGCCAAGACTGATCCTGGGGCGCGAAGAGCAGCCGGGGATCTGGGGCTCCTGTACCCCGCGGGACCTACTCGGTCTCCGCCTGCCACGGCCGAGTGTCCCGGGATGGGCTGCACTGCGCCGGGCTGCCGCTGTTGCCGGCCCGGGCGCGGCCGCGCAGGCACTTGTTAGAGTGCCCTGCTAAGTTGGCCGCGGAGCAATTCCCAGCTTTCTTTCACAATGACTTCCTCAAGTTGCTCACTCTCATTGTTCCCCATTTCTCGCCACACTCCCCGCCCCCCGCAGCTCCGACTCGGCTCGGAGCTCCGGGCCGCCCGGCCGTCCCGTGCTACAGCGCCGCCCGCGGGCAGCGCACCTGGTCCGGGCACACCGCGCCACCACCTGCGGCCGCCCGGAGCGCGCGCCCCTGGTCCCGCACCGTGAAAACTTTGGGGGAGGCACACGCGACCTGCCTCCCGTTCTGCTTGTCCCGTAGCCCACCCGGCCCTCGCGTACACCTCGCGGCTTCGCGACACCGGCGCGGACAAGGAACCGGGCAGAGAGAGGGGCCGTCCCGTCCCCGCACCCGCCGCCGGGTCCCGCAACAGACCGCAACTCTGCGACCTGCCGGGCCGCGCGCACAAAGTTTGCAGCCGCGCGGGGCTCAGGTCCGGCCGCCGAGGGTCGCCGGGCGGCGGCGGGCACCGGCCGTACCTGCTGGCGCCGCCGGCGGCTGCAGCCCGCTCGCCCGCGCCGGGCCCGCTCGGCGCGCAGCCGCCACCCCCGCGCGCAGTGCGCCCGGGCCCTCCCCTCGCCGCCAAGCTTCCTCATTCCAGTGCAGCATCGCGCCGCTGCCCCGCGCGGGATGCCGCGGCCGGAGCTTTGCCCGCGGGTTAGCCCAGCTCAGCCGCGCCACTGCGGGGACCTGAGCTCAACCCGCAGGGGTGCGGCACGTGCGGGCCCGCGGGGAGGGGGAGGGGCCTCCCGGCCCCAGCGCCACGCGCGGGGCAGCCGGGCGGTCGCGACACAGGCGCGCTCGCCCAGTCGAGGGACTCGAAGGACACGGGACACTGTAAGGCACTTTTTTTTCCGGTGTCTAAGAGCACCCGCTGCCTGTGCAGAGCCAAGTCCCTGGGACCTCTGGGCTGCCACGTTCGGGCTTAGACCCCTAAAGTACTAATGCCCACCCCAGGGGGTGGGAAAAGTTGATCCTGTGCGAGTGAGGAGAAGGTGCAGTTCATTTTTCCAGACAACCAATGGAATACCTCTCGCGTCTCTTCCCTCCCACCTGCTCACAGCAGAAGTTAGGATGTCGCCTTCCATCCTGGCCTGTGTGCAAGCGCCAGCGTGGAAGGGGTCTGCGGGCAAAGGTTGGAGCAAGGCAGTCCTGCACCTCGCTCTGCGGCGGGCGCCTCAGACCTCTCCCTGGTGTGGCAGGCACGGAGTGTCTGCGTAGAAACAGGACTGCATCCTCTGACACCGCACCCTTCACTCTACAAAGAGCCCAGCACCGTTCTGATTAGTTGGGCCACACCCGAAGGGGGCCAGGCAATCCTTAACCCTGAACACAGAGGGAGAATCTTAAATTCCATAGGCATAGCAGTGTCCCTGCGGGGGTCCTTGCCTTACCACATTTCAAAGCTGCTTACTAAAGCACAAAATAAAACTCTGGAGCATCCTGGAGAGCTACAGTGACTGGGAGAAAGACTGTGGGCCTCAAAGGGGTAAGACACACAGGCTTCCCAAGTGGTAAGAGGAGTTAAGTCACAGCAAGAGGCAGAAAATGTGACTTCAGGTCAGTTAAGTGTGGCTGGGCACACAGCTGTCCAGGATGATTGTGGTTTGGCTGAGAAGGCTGCCACAACACAACCCAGGCGCCACAGTGACAGGTTTTGCCTCTGCCCTCCTTGAGAGAAGTCCTTTCCACCCACCACGGGTCCAATCAACACATGGACAGAGTTTTCTTGGGCCACTTAGAAAACAACTACTACCCAGTTGATTCCCACAGATGTTTCATCGTATAGAGGGACCCTGAGCCAGTCAACTCGTGGGTAGAAAGCCAGGGAGGACGGCCAGACTTGTAAGCCGCCCTTGGGTCCTGTTGCTAGCTCACGCTTTTTCTTTGTGATCCCTCCTAAGTGTTGCTAACACTGGCTGTCAGTCATCCTTAGGTCTAGGAGCCTGTAGACTCTGGGGGAGTCCTATCAGGAGTCACTGGAGGCTGTAACCATAGAATGCAAGATGCAAAGGGAGATTAGATCCGTGATAAGGTAGGGGTCTTGAGCATCTCTAGTTCTTAGATGCTCAAGCTCTCTTAGATTTCAGATAGGAATCTTTAAATGTATGCCTGGCCCACGGGAATGGACTCAGACATGGTAATCCTGGCAAGGTGTCTGCTACTAAGTCTACAAGTCCAGATATGTTGGGTTTTTTGATATTATCGTATGGTCTTACACCCTCTAAGTCTGTTTCCCCCATTTTACCTTGGAGGGTAATGATCAAAATCTTCCCCAAGGGATCATTTGAGAGCAAAGAAGGCCCTAGATGGAAGACATTGCCATAAGGCCCGAGGAGCGGAAGTATCAACAACTGTTATTTATTGTTCAGCCCATTAACCACAATATCCCTCCGTGGTGGGGGGGCATACTGCAGAGTTAGGTTCCTGTGTCTACTTCCTGTAAACCCCTCCCCCACAAACAGGTGGAGCTGAAGTAACTGGTTGTAACTTGGAGTCTCTGGAGGGATACCAAGAGACCAGAGGTCACTTAAAACACTGATGCCTTCAGAGATTAAAAAAAAAAATTCAAGATACTTTTATGCCTCTCATTTCATTTATGAATTAATAACATGTATTGTTGTTTTCAAAATGTTAGAGAACTATTCAGGAAGAATCACGGAATTAATTACCAGTTCTTTGGGTAGAGAGGGTTTTGTCGAAAGGATGAACGCCTCCCATGGACTTAACCTGAGGCTCCTTATTCCCAGCTTAGTACTGTGAGGACTCAGCTGGGAATTTGGTTCTCACAAGGGCTGGAAGACACTCTAAGGGAAAGTGAATGCTGCAGAGAAGAAGAGTGCCTGGGCACCGTGACTAAACTAGCCAGTTGCCAGTTTTCAGAAGTCTCCCAACTCTCTCAATGTCAGGATCTCTTCTGCAGTATACCTCCTCTGTCCACAGTGGTGTTGGTGCTTAGAAGAAATAGGGCAAGCTCTTCTTTTTTTCTTTTAAAAATAGTCTTCCTTCCTTCCTACCTTCCTTCCTACTTTAATTCCTTTTCTCCTCCCTCCCTCCCTCCCTTCCTTCCTTCCTTCCTTCCTTTCTCTTTTTCCTTCCTCCCTTCCTCCCTCCCTTCTTCCCTCCCTCCCTCCCTCCCTCCCTCCCTCCCTTCCTTCCTTCATTTGAGGCAGAATCACATGTATCCCAGACTGGTCTCAAATTCACTATGTAACAGAAGATAACAGTGAACTCCTCCTCCCTCCCAAGCGCTGGGAATTCAATTATGTGCCACCATGCCATCTACGCCACTGTTGATACAAGGGTAGCTTTCTTCAGTCTTAAAGAATCTGTGGCACAGCAGTCTACTGGATGCTTGTTTTCCTCCAGACATTGGGAACAACAATATTTTTCGAATAACAGGAAAAAAATTTCTTGCTGATCCTTTTTCTATAAAGTTAGCTCAAGAGAACTCTACTAATTCCATCTGGTAAGATACAAGAGCAAGAGGCAGAGAGCCCGGAGCTGTACGAAACTATTGCAACCATGTCCAGAGCTTCAGTTTCTTTTTCCCAGTTTTCATGGCTTCCAGCTTCTGCTTCTGTGTCTTTGGACACCAGTGGTGGCTGCTGGGGTGGGTGACGTCCTGGATCCTGGCTTCTAGTTCCCATAATGGTTTCCTTCCTTTTACTTACAGATCACAGGCTCCCACCTCTTGGTGAAGTGAAGGAAGAGTGGACTAAGGAACAGGTCAAGGTGCCTTTGACTGTGCTTTGACTGTGGCTGGCTGGGAAGCCCCCCCCCCCCCCCCCCCAGGAAAAGCCCCCTGCAAGTTCCCTTGGCAACCAGGAAAAGGTTCCCTCTGTTGCTTTCCTGGCTCTGTTTCAGAATACAGAGGTTCAGATTCCAGACTCATTCATACTCACATCTCACGAAAGACATCAGAAATCTCCTCACCTTATTATTTTTGGATTTGTAAGATCTGATCCTCCAATATTCAACAATAATTGATTTTTAAAATCAGTATTATTTTCTTAGGTTGGAAATTAAACACAGAGAGTGATTTGGTGACAAGAGATTTATATGAGAAGCTTTCTGATAAACAGTTCTGAAAATGTTTTGAGTGAGTACAGATAAATAGATAACCCTCTTACCATAGAAAACCAGGATGAAGATACAAGGCTTGTGGTAAACTCTGTTGACTTTGCTAGACAGGAAAGGTTTGGGATGCTACTTTTGAAAATATAAATATGCATCATCTTGTAAATATTTACTTGTTTGGAAAGTATTTATTTATGGTTGCAGGTGCTGTTTGATAGACTAGGCATCATAATAAAGCATAAGATACGGCCTTGCTCCCTACTGGGCTCAGTGCAACAGGAGGAGAATTAGACAGTTTCATTTAAGCCCAAAATGTGTCCTGATAAAATCTTCTTAGAACACAAAGAGTGGAGCTCAATGGTTGTAGAGCCACGGAAGCTTCATGGGCACAGAAAGAGAGGAGAGGGGAGAAGAGAACACAGAGAAATGGGGACGTTTCCTTCTTCACAGCTAGCCAGG